TATATGAATTTCAATATGGCGACGAAATGTTGCAAGTTATTCCGTTCAGCAAACCTGGCAGTACACGGAACATTTTTCGTGCTCAACTTTTTTCCCTTTAGCCTATCTAGTTGCGTCTCCTTATTCTTACTTCATGGGTCCATGATTATATAGTCAAAGATACAGCCAATGACAATGGCTGTGTACGTAGTTCCATCTCAAAAGTAGAAGCAATTGGCGCTAGTGTACGGAGAGGTCAAAACTTTTACCGGTATTGCGAAAAACGCCGGGATGGCCGCTCTCATGACTCATAGTCTCATGCTTCTCTGATCTCTCTGGTCAAACTTTCGTTCGTTTCGTTATTATATGCCATTGAGTGTGTGCGCATACGTGACTGAGTTAATGTGATTAATAATAAAACTAATAAAATAAGTAAAGGAAAAAAAAGTTTTGTTTGGAATTATTTTTCCAAAGAAGATTCAATAACTGCAAATTGTGTACGAAACTTTTTAAGCATGCTGGAAATACAACAAACTTAACGCAGCATTTGAACAGAAAGCATGCTAATTTTACTGATAACGAAAGTCAAGAAACTGATCAACAACAACAACAACATGTGAGATCCAATATAGATGATCCTGGTGATGATCCAAAAGAACATCGACAATGAATTGCGACGTTGCATCGTGCGTACCGGATAAAAATGTAAATAAAATGTTTATTATTATATTTCAAACATAAATCAGTATTTTTAGATAAAGTTTAAAGTAGCGATCGGGTCAAATTTTAGGTTTCTAAATTAAATATTGGAAAAATTAGGTTAGATTAGGTTATTTTTGTACGGTGTAACATATAATTCTTTTTTCAAAAATGCATATAACCATAATATGATATTTGAAACTATGTACCACTAGAACATAATAATTAAGTTAGTACTTTCATTTTATATTTTTAAGGTAATTTTTATATGATCTTGAGATAATTGTATTGCAACAAAACGTTTTTCTTAAAAAAATACTGACTTAAACTCGTTTATGGTTTAATATATGGTAGTGCTGTAACTTTCAATATTTATCAATTATTGTATATTATTTAATTGCATTTGTGCATTTTTTATAATTTTTTTTACAGAAGACAACTAGAAGCTACCCAAAAACAGTAGTAAAGATTGACAAAGCCTTTAAAAAGATGAAATCTTATAAAGGTATTTTAAAGCATTTGTGCTTAACTTAAATTTATTTTTGTTAGATTTTGGTGGTGAAAATGTATTTTTCAGATATAAAATATATTCTTATTGGAAGTTTTTTTTTCTTTTACAGCAGGTGGAGAAATGTCAAATCAACTAACTAATAGTTTAATGTACATGCTTGCAGTTGACAACCTGCCTCTATCAACAGTCGAACATACTGGCTTTCTGCATTTTTGTAAAAAGGCCGTGCCGCTATACACTCCACCGAGCAGGAAAACCATTACGAGTCTTATGGATGACAAGTACTCTGTACTTAAAAATATATACAAAAGTCGTTTCCAGAAATTACAAAATGTAACAATTACAACTGACATATGGACAGACGTTTCTGTAAAGAGTTATATAGGCGTAACAATTCATTATTTGGACGACAAGTTGGAATTTGTAAACACTACAATAGGGGTAATATCTCTGGACGAAAGTCACACTGAGGAATACATAGGTCTTTGTTTGATGCAACTTTGCCAAGATTGGGGAATAAATATAGATTGTATTACTGCGATTGTTACCGATAATGCGGCGAATATTGTAAAAGCAATAACTGACACTTTTGGGAAAAAGAAACATCTAAGATGCTTTGCCCATACGCTATCACTTGTATATCCCGATGCTGTAAAAACTATTCCTTCTTTAGTAAATCTTTTAGCAAAAGTTAAAAGTATTGTAACTTTATTCAAACAAAGTGTCGTAGCTGCAGACGAATTACGGCGCTTACAATTTTTAGAAGGAAAAACAGAAGGAACTGTATTAAAATTAATTCAAGAAGTTCCGACTAGGTGGAACTCTGCGTTTTATATGATACAACGGTTTTTACAGTTAAAGGATTACATTAACAATATGTTATTAAAATGCCCAAAAGCGCCTAATATGATAGTCCGGGACGAATTAGAAGTATTGCAAGAAATAGTTGATATTTTAAAGCCAATTGAGTACGTTACAAAAACTATTGGAGGTGATACTTACACAACTAGCAGTCTCGTGATACCATTAATTCATTATATGATGCTTACCGTTAAAAAGTGCACTCCGATTACTGATACGGGAATTCAGTTTAAAGAAAACATTCTTACAGAATTAAATAAAAGGTTCCAACATGTCGAATCTGTTTCGCATTTAGCAATTGCAACATTGATGGATCCCCGATTTAAGAAAACTCATTTTGAATCTCCCTTAGCATTAAGTACAGCTATACAGCATATTAATAATATGATTGAAATTGATTTAGGGAATCAGAATAACGAAATTATTCAAACTAAAGCAAGTGTAGTTGAAAGAGATGAACAGTCGAATAATTTTTGGAAAATGCATAAGGAATTAGTAGCTTCAATTGCTTCTAAACGACAAGTTGAGACAACTATACAAGATAATAACATTGAGCTAAAACAATATTTATCGCAACCGGTTATTCACGACACTGCTAATCCAATAGAATATTGGAAAATGTCAAAACATGTTTTTCCATTGCTGTATCCAGTAGCTATAAAATATTTATCAATAGTAGCAACATCAGTTCCTGCGGAGCGTTTATTCTCAAAGGCCGGCAATACAAAAACTAATTTAAGAAATCGCTTAACCGGTAAACATTTATCGACATTATTGTTTTTAGGCAGTATAAAAGAACGCGATTGGTACATGTAATTATTGTAA